CGAAGGACAGAACACTAGAAGACATATATATATATATATATATATATATATATATATACACACACACACATATATATATACATTTTAGAATAATAAATAAATAAATAAATAAATAAATAAACAAATAAATAAAGATATATATATATATATATATATATATATATATATATATATACACACATATATATATATACACACATATATATATATGTTCTTCTATTGTTCTGTCCTACAACATTAATTCACTTAAACCCATTGCCGCCGGGAAAATGAATAAAAAATGGGGAAAAAGTTGTACTAATTTTTTCATAGATGGCTCTGCTAGTTTTGATTTCACCTTTCCCCTAACTGGCGGAAAAACGTTTTCTTACAAGTGCTATAAATATAGATAGCGTTTTAACGTAATCCATGTGCTGAAGCCCATGACACCATCACATGTACTAGCCAGATTTCCAAATGTGCTAACTGTGGAGGTCCCCATCAGTCAGGATCTGCCGAGTGCAGCATCCTGAAGAAGGAGACTGAGACATTAGCATATATGAGAAAGCATGAAGTTAGTTATACTGAAACTAAGAGGAAAGTTGAAAGTTTGACACACAAACCTGATACTTCCTATGCTGCAGCACTAACTAACAACACCCCTAGTACAAGTGATGTCAGTCAACAGCTTGCAGCTAAGGATAAGGAAATTGCCGAACTCAAACAAACTGTCAAAGAATTGAATATTAAAGTTTATCAATTGACTAAATTGGTCGATCAAATGGCTGCAACAACCCAGCATAAACATCATAAGGAGGATGATACCGAATCACAGTCCGGAGCGCACCTTCCCGTCCGGGCTACTGCTGTGAGGACTTCGTCTGGCTCGCGATCGGCTTCTCGAGAGAGAAGCAGATCGCAATCGGTCAGTCGTCTCCCTCGCCAGGAGGTGCAGGACATGGAGGCTTCTGTCTTCAAACCATCCCGTGAGAGGTCCCCGGGAAGCGAGGGAGAGGAGGCGCCTCCCTCCCATAAAAAGAAAATTCGAACTGGTGGACAAGGCACTTCCAAACCCCATAAAACGTAATCTTCGCGTCAACCATTATACAATGGAACTGTCGAAGTATTAGATCTAAAGTAAATGACACATTTAACAGAATTCGTCTTTGACGAGGTTGTTTCGCTGAGGAACTACCATCTGTGTCGGAAGGATCGTGAGGGTAGGGGTGGAGGCGGAGTCGCCATGTACATCCACCAAAACCTCCCTTTTACAGAGGTGACTTTTGATTCTACTTTGGAGTTTGTCGCATGCAAAGTAAAAATTAATGGCACATATCTGGCTATATGTTCAGTTTATTGTCCACCTGATACAGTGATAATCTATGATGAGCTTTTTGCTCTTCAGGAACGTCTGCCACAAAATAAAGTAATTTTAGGTGATTTCAATGCTCATCATACGTTATGGGGTTCCCTGAGGGTGGATGGTAGAGGTGAGCAAGTAGTTAAGCTGATTAATGAGTCAGATTTAGTCCTTCTGAACGATGGTAGTCCCACGCGGGTGGACGATAATACCGGTAATTTGAGCTTTATTGACCAATCACTGGTCTCTTCATCAGTAGCAGCTAAGTGCCTGTGGCACACTTCTGACGACTCGTTGGGAAGCGATCATCTTCCTATTTTGATTGAACATACATGCGACACAGTGAGAACGCCTTCAGCGCCTAAATTTAACGTAAAAAGAGCAGACTGGGTCGCCTTCACAAGGAGCGTCAAGCTTGAACTTGTTGGAGAGACCATTGATGATAAAGTAAACAATATTCAGAATTCGATTATAGAAGCAGCTTTGCTATCCATTCCTAAAACTTCGACAGATAGCGTTAAGCATAGAGTTCCATGGTGGACACCAGATTGCCGCAGGGCGCTGTGCCGACGCAATAAGGCCTACAGGCTTTTCAAAAATAACATCACGAATGAGAACTTTTGCAACTACAAACTAGCAAGAGCTAGGGCTTGTAGAGTAATTAGACAAGTTAAAAGAGACTCCTGGCATAGCTTTGTCTCTACAATAAATAGTAATACAAAAAGATCAGGTTTGGTCCACTGTTAATAAAATCAATAAGAACAAAACATCACTCACGATGGAACCAATTTCGACTCTCCTAAAGACATTGCTAATGTACTCGCCAGGCAGTTCTCTTACACAAACAGCTCAGCAAATTACCATCCCGCTTTCCTGACCACCAAGGAAGCCGCTGAGCTGCAACCTATTCACTTTGCCACAGGAGATGACTTTGATTATAATAAAGATCTAACAATGAATGAGCTTGTCCGAGCCCTAGAAGCCTGTAGAGGAACATCCCCAGGCCCCGATGAGATTCGATATGAGATGATAAAGCATCTTAATCATGGGGACATGATTAAGTTGCTAGAAGTGTACAATGAAATTTGGAAAAGCCACACTTTTCCAAACTCATGACACTTCGCCCACACCATTCCCATATTGAAAGGAGGGGGTAATCCC